CGAAACTCACACGGAAGACGACAGACGAGGCCTATGAGAACATTCGGAGTATCTTGGAAGGAGAAATCGCGCGCCTCAAGGAAGAGGGCGCGATTTTCATCCTTGTCGCCGATGAGTGGACTTGGAAAGAGAAACGCTTCATCGGTGTAGTCCTCCGCTCGTCCGAGATCATACCGAGCTTGAACTCGAAGTCACTGGAGATTCTCGTCCGCTTCCGAGAATCGGCGACAGCTCGGAACATTCTTGAGGCCATCAGAGAAGCGCTCCGCGCCTTCGGACTCCGTGTCCAAGATATGCGCGGCATGGCGTCCGACGCAGCTTCGACGATGTTGAAGCTCGCAAAACTGATCGGAGAAGAATGCCAGCCGAATGCTTTCTATCACCAGCAATGTTTCGCCCACGGTCTCCATCTAGCCGTCGTAGACACATTCAGGGGCCGAGGACTTCACCGAGAAGACACTGGCGTTGATCGTTCAAGTACATTTTTTTTTGGCTTGAGTAACGAGACTAGCGGCGAGATTATGAACGGAAACGACAGCGGTGGTGACGGTGGAAATGCTCGGAGAGACGATGACCGTGATGGCGAGGAGCATGGAGGGCAGGACGTAAATGCCGCTCTCTTCACCGAGATTTATACAAGTAGGAGTTCCAACGACCTCAGCGAGCTGCAAGGGGAGAGAGAACTTCAAGACATGGACCATCTTCAGCTCGTCCGACAAGTTCGGACCATTTCACAGGAGTTCAAATCTCCGAAGAAAGCGGACGAGTTGAAAAACATATGTCGCCGACTTGATCCTGACTTGAAGATAAATAGGCTCCTTCCCGACATTCACATAAGGTGGGAGATTCCGACGATGATGTCTGCCTAGCTGTCCCAACATTTCGCCTTCTGTGAGGATGGAGAGTAGCTCTGATCGTAAATCCAACAATGAGTCATGAATCACGAGCCGTAGAGTCAAAGTCGATGAAGTCTCTGCATATGCCTGTTCCCTCTCACATAGCTATTCCAACAGGTGGAATAGCACACTCCGCATGCTCGAGCGGTTCGTGAAGCTGAGGGAAGCTGTCGAAACTCACTACGAAGAGCATGGAGCATCGTGGCCGTTCTCGCGGAGAGAGATGGAGGCCATTGAAGAAATGCTTCCTGCTCTTCGAGCTGTTAATGCCGCCACCATGAGGCTCTCTGATGAGAGCGTGACATTGTTCAAAGCGGATATCATCATCGAAGTAGGGTCATCATCACATTCGATTCGTAACTCCTAAACCATAGCCCATTCTTTAAGACCTCGTTTCCTCCAACAGTACATGTTCGTGGAGCTGGCGAACATAACGTCTGAGTCCTTATCGAGCTTCGCCGCAAGGCTTCGAGATAACCTCAAAAGACGGATCGCTCAACGGAGGACGAAGGCATCTAGCTGCGCGATGTTTCTGCACACCGCGCAGTGCGAATCTGCCTTGGGGCGCCGTCTTGTAGGTTCCCACTTGGACCTTCAGCGTTCCGATCCATACTGCGACGTCGATGAAGAAATCGCGAAATTTATCCTGGAGAGCGATCGGTCTCAAGAAGCTTGCGAAGATCCGCCAACAGCTTCCAGTTCAGAAGCCTCTTTCGAGGCTTTTCTGAGGGACACCACAAGGCAGGCAAAAGCTGCTGCAAGGAGAGACTCTCCAATCACTGAACCGATTGAACGGGCCCGTCTCCTGATGCAGCAGAGCATGATAGACGGTGACGATACGCCGCGCCTACCCAAGAAAATGTGCTCCCTTCTTGACACCCTGCCGCCAACGAGTGTGAGCGCTGAGCGGTCATTCAGCAAAGCCCGCTACGACCGCCGTTACAATCAGGGGACGCTGGATGACGAGCGCTTCACGAGGAAACTCTTGGTAGCTCACTTCTACAGCAAAACTGAGCCGTGGTCGGCTTTTATGCGAGCAAATAACCTCAAACTGTGAAACGTTCTCGGTCGATCACATATTCTATGCAATACATGTCCGATTATCCTCGACGTTCGCGCTCTTTCGATGTTCCCGGTCTTGTATATTGTGAATTCGAAATCTGCCTAGTTTAGCTCATAGGTGGAGGAGCCCGGCGCCGCATCGTTCAAAGAGTACACGGATTGAAAAATCCATGGCTCTAGGGCAACCCACCTTCAATATAGCCAATGAGTTTATTGAGGGAGAACTGGGATGGGTTTCCTATGAGAGCAGAGAAGCCAAAAGTAAAATTCTTTCCTTTGCTAGGCTCGAGCGAGTGCCGAGTTACCGATGGCCAAAAGCCATCCTGGAGGCAATGAAGACATGCAACGTCTTCAGTGAGGCGTACAAAAGAATGCAACACCTCAGCAGACTGTATGAGTGCGAGTTCGATAGATCGCAACATGTGGAACCTGAAGAACGTCACTGGAGAGCCTTCCGCAACGATGTAAGCGACTGCATCAGATCATTCACTGACAAGGAATGGAGGGAGAACATGGAAACTAAACCGAGCCTGAAAAGATACAGGCAACACAAGATGAACAGGGGCACAATTGATCATGTATATGACAACACAAGAGGGAGTTTCCTCCTGGCAGGTGCTCGTGCCGGTTTCCTCAACACAAACTCCTTCAGGGCTAGAGGGATGGGAGCGGGAGACGAGGAGTTACGTCCCCTGCAAACCTCGGATCCACCAACCTATAACCAGCTGAGAAGACTCAATCCCGCGCATGGGGTCTCCTGGATACAATGTAAATCTTGTAACACAGGGGATGATTAATAAATCAATCAATCAATCAATCAATCGATGACCCATCATTGTTCATTGGACTTGGAGCATGAGCCGTAAACTCAGCCTTGTCAATGGGAGAATGAGCTCACGTTTTCAGAGCGGTTTACATATTTATGTACGTTTTGCTTTTGGAATCCATATCAATGGGTCGCACGATCGAGATTCAGAAGCACTCAAAAATCATCATCAGCAGCATGAACTCCCTCCGTTCTTTTGGAACGGAGTTCCCCATAGACTCGCATTCGTTCTTTTGGAACGGGATCCTCATGGGATCACATACGTTCTGCGGACCGTACTTCTGAATATACGTCCTCTCCTCTGGAAGTACGAATTTCTTCCGTACTCCCGTTCCCCTTTGAACGGGATCTAATCGAACACCAGCGCGCCGCGCTCGCTTTCTGTATAAGTGCCGTCGTCGAGAGGGTTGGCGGGTCCATTTGAAAACTCGCGGTCAGTCCGAAAAGTGACCCAGCTCTGTGGATCGCGCGCGGGTCTGTCGGAAGCAATGACGAATTCTAGCTCGATGGGTCAGGGAGAAATAGAGCGCTGATCGCAGCTGATCGGATGTCCGATTTTGATTCGCCTACGAGGAAATACCCGTCCCTGATGAGCTGTCGGGACGAGGTCTCCGTAACCTTACGTCATCGAGTCTACGAGTCGGCATTGCTGGACTCGTGGGCGGAAGGGTGTGGAGTCCCCACTCCCGATCTACTGGCGGGGCGATTCATGAGCTGGCAGATCGACTGTCACGTCGATAATCACGCGAAATCAGCGGACTCATGCTGCTCGAGGCGAGTCGGAGCACCACGGAGCCATGAACCCGGGGTCGTATCGGCATTCTGCACAGCCGGTCTCCGATCTCGGACCTTCTAGGGTTCCGAGAGGCTGCAAGGCTACAGTTTTTACCATCGAGCCCCCTCGGAGTCCTGGAAGTATCCCATTCGGTCGGAGCATGATCCTTCGGCGAACCAGATTCCTTGAGCAACTGAATGTCAACCCCGAAGCGAACCGCGAGGGATTTCTCACGCGCGACTCTCGGGCGTGCCGTTGAGGGCCGCAAGAATCGTTGGAAGCTGAACCCGAAAATCCGCTGGTTCGCCTAGACGTTTGCAAGCGGTTATCGGAGTTCAGATAATCATGGGTCTCTTCTTCTCGCAGACGATGGTGATCATTAATAGGCTCTCGAGTTGGGAGAACCCCGGACCTAGGTACTCTGTTCCTTGCTCAGAATGATCCGCCCCGACTTCTGGGCGCCGAATCGCCGCTCCGTCCGGTTATAATCCGCCTGCATAATGCATCATAGGTTCGAAGGCAAAATCTCTCGGATGCTCCCGAGGTCAATACTTTCAGAGGGCTGTCGCGTCTCGGAGATCGACGGGTGGAGGCGAACCCCTCGGAGTTTTTCTCCTGTCTGCAACCCATGGAGCAGAGACACTCAGAGTTCCCGAAGCGTTCCACGCTATTGAGCTGATCCCAAGGAGAGTCCATGTTCTGGTCGTGATCGAAGATTTAGCGCCTATTCCATCCTCAGAGGACTCGTTCCCCCCGTGGATATAAGAGCTTCCTCACGGATCTGATATACGCAGCTTATCTCCGACCCGCACGAGCGAGTGTGCGACGGCTGACGGCCTGCGGTTCCTCGGCGCGAGCGTATCAGGTGTGCCTCGAACTCGCAAGAGGACCCGAGTTCATATTTCTCCGCGTCCCTCCAAAGCCGCTATCGGGGGCTGAATTCCGAATGCGGAGATGGAGATCCGCAGTTGGCTACTGCCGCGACAGCGGGCGCCCAGAAAATGCTAACGATGCGCCACATTTTCTGTCCCAGAACTTGTTCGTGCGAGTGAATGCGTCGTAACTATCGGCAAACGTAAACAAGTTTCACCGAACAGACCAAGAGTCTGCCAACAACTCTGGAAACGGCTCCGCGAATTCAACATCCATTACTAGGCCCGTTCGCCTCAGAGCTCCGAAACGTCAGGTTCAACGCTCCGCGGGAGGAAATTCCATCGACAATTTCCATGGGTCCTGGACTCACCGGTGCTGAATCTTGAGAGCCTTCCGCTGAATCTTGAGAGCCTTCCGCTGACTTTTGAGTGTGGCGTTTTCTTCTAGGGATGAAGCTGAGCTTCTTCGTCCGCTGTTGAAGCTTCCCGAATGTTGAAGTTTCGCGAATGGGGCAGGAGCTAACAGCCTCAGATTCGATTCGAAACCCCTCGTCCACAACGCCGGACTCCAACGTATGCTCGCCTCGCTGATTGGCGACAACTGCCCCATCCCTGTCGTTCAACTCCAGAACCCATCTTGGGTGCCGCGATCATCCTGATTGATGCTGCGGAAGTCGTCCTCGGGATCACGGAGCCTTCTTTCCCTAGATGCCGGCCAATCTGTCTCACTAATCGTCCAAGCTCTCCTAATTATGAGGAAATGTCTAAGGTCCGAACATGAGGCGAGAAACAAATTCCATGCTTATAGCTCCAGCTAAAGTCGTTCCATGGTCAGATGCATCGATTGATTTATCAATCAATCGTCATTGGAGGCCATTCTGAAATCCCTTCCCGGCTGATCGTCGCAACTATTCCGATAAAAGGAAGCAGAGAGATTCGATACATCGGCGTTCGCTCAAACCTTTATAATCACGCATCAAGAGTTTGGGAGGATAAATAAGCATGACATTACAGAATGTTTAGAACTTCAGCTCTAGTAAGTTCCGTGAGCTCTTGTTGACTCAATATGTGGGCTAGGTTCTCTAGTTGTCGCAACTTTTCGAGGACACTCGGCAGGGGGAGATTTAGCAATTCTGCTAAAAGATGCTTCGACTCGCTGTCCATCCGCCGCTTCTGACGCGGATCCGGTAGAGGGTAGTTCACGAGGCGCGCTCGATCGACCAATTTACATGGTGAAGCTTCGAGGCTCTCTTCTGTAAGAGAAAATGCAACGTTAATATGGTGCTCTCGCTTACTACTATCAGCCCTACATCATTGATCACCGCTGATGGCCCATCCTAGAACTGCCTACGATCGCCAGACCACGAGCATCCTCCCTCCCCAAACAGTCTCTCGTGAGACGATCGACCGTTCGGGATAGAACACCGACCGCTGACTTTCGAAATCTGCTCCTGAGACGGGGCCAAGAGACGATGGAAACAAGGTCGGGGAAGACAACGGTCATCGAACATCTCAACAAAAGATCCGAGCTCGGACGTCTGTCTCGTCTCCGGAGAACCGTTACAGCTCTCGCGAATGCTCGAATTCCACCACGTCTATGGAACCATGCTCTTCGCCGCTGAAACTCAGGAGTTGAAGAGCTCTCCCGGACTCCGACTCCTTAGGCAGACTCGAACGATAATACTTTCATCAAGTCGCAAAATACATACCTTCGCACTCTAATCGTAGATCATCTTCTTCCTCCTGTTCTTCTTTCGTTTCGGGTGCCTCTTCCGGTTGTTCGACGTGAACTTCTATCTGCTGCATTTCACGTTCTTCACTCTCATCTTGCGCAAGCTTAGATTCCTCGTTCTCTTCATTTAAATGACTTATTTCGAATTCCCCGTCACCGGTAACGTAGACGATTTGCTGGTCCATTTTCAAAAATGATCATCATAAGGTAGCAAACAACATGGCGACCGCAGACGATTCTCTCAGAGGAAGGAGGAGATGGAGGGAAGGGCAAGGCTATGTCAGCCCGCCTGATTCGAGATCGAGGGAAAGCCGCATTCTGACGGAGAGTCATTGAGATTCCGTAAGTCGAGTTCGGATATCGTGCTACGTGGGAGGGGGAGGGGGGGAAGCTATTCAATGACAGATCATTCGGCGCAGCCGATCCCCCGAAACATGGCTCTGTACCTCGTCGACAATGTATACTTCGGCATTAAATACAAACTATAGGGCTAAAGCGATCCAATCTCGCCAAATCTGGCTCGAGTTGTCGAAGCCGACATTCCGGGGGCGTCATGGAACACCGGGTCAACAAGTTGCCGTGACAGTCCTCTCCAATCCGGGGAAAATTCTTGTAGAGGAGGGTGAACGACTCGCCAGGAGGAGTCTCACCGACGAGATGTTCAATATCTCCTCGACGATCGACTACACCGCTGGCCCAGCTTTCGGGAACCTGCGGAACATACTGTTCGAATATTAAGGCTGGGAATCGGGAGCCGCTGCTGACCTCAGCAGAATCATGGACTGTCTTCATCAGCGACGCAGAGTCGCGAATAGGCAATCGAAGGTGTGAGTAAAGTTGCAGAGAGGTCTTCTTAAATCAATTAGCCACATGCCTCACGCCGACTGGAGCACTAAGTGCGGCCGATACAGTATCCCGGGGTCTCGCAAAACCGTAGTCGAGAACCCCGGCTTCCGTTGATCAGACTTGAGCAGATGACACCTACCGACTAGAGCCATTATGCCTCTGCGGCCTTGCCTGTTCTCGGACGCTGCCCCGGACTCCCTTCTCGGATTTTCCTCTTTTAGATTGAGCTCCTTTGGAGGGGAAGCGCTGAAAAAGTCGGTCGATCATCGGACTTCGACGTCTCACAGCAGAAATCACCATCATCAGCACATGGCAAACATTCGTCTGCAACCACTGCCGACCGCGGTTCACCGTCGGTATACTTCCTCAGGTTGCCTTTCTCTAGGTTCCTTGACGTTCCTGTGGAAGGAGCTTCAGCGTTCCTCGGGAACGGCGTCCTAGCGTTCCGAGGACGTTCCATGTCAGCGAGAAAATGTTCTCGTCGTCGACTCAGAAAAAACATTGGATGTTCTCCAATGAGAGAGACTTGGCGAAACTGAGAGAATCCTCAAACACGAACTACATACAGAAAATGATAGCCAGAGACGGTGAGCTGCCTCAAGAGGATTACCAATCATCACCAAAGACGGAGAATGGTGCTCTGCGTGCTCTGTTTTCGTCCTCGGAGCTCTGCTTCCGTCCTTGGAGCTCTGTTTCCGTGCCGAGTCTCACGTAAACTTCACTTCTTGTAAAGGTAAACCGCCGACCGAGGATGTGTACGACACATTCCTGTTACCACTCGAAGAGAAGATGCTGTATCGGCACTATGAGTTCCTGCTCCGGGAGTTTTGTAAGAAGTTCACTCCGGCTGTTCCCAAGTAAGGCTCCTCACCATCGACTCTGTCATTTGCCTCTGACGCTTTCGGAGTTCAAGGAGACGGGAGACGGGGGGAAATCGTCTCCTTTAGAATCAGGCTTTCTCCTCAGCTCGACCTCTCTTTCACAGAGCCGTTATCGGGACGTCTCTGGCATATTTTAAACGATATTATCTGAGGAACTCTGTTATGGATCTACACCCGAAACAAATGATCATCACCTGCATGTATCTAGCTTGTAAAGTGGAGGAGTTCAACATATCTATCACGCAGTTTGTAAATAACGTGAAAGGTACGACAAGCATTCCTTCGACTCGACTCTATTGAGTATTCTTTACGTGCCTTTTCTGTTTTGCCTTCGAAGAGTTACACAATGTTAAGGTTCTCAAAAACTTCCGGCAGGCGACAGGGAAAAAGCTCAGGACATCATTCTGACGAACGAGCTCCTGCTCATTCAGCATCTGCAGTACCACCTGACTGTTCACAACCCGTATCGAGCCGTGGAAGGTCTCCTGATCGATACGAAGACGCGGATGTCTCACATCATCCAGGTAAAAAGCCATTATCTTCTCTTCTCCGGAAAAAAGCTCACAGATTCGATTGAGAAGTCACGGGTCGATTTTCGTTCTCATTGATAACCCACGGCACTCACCCGTTCTAGGACGCTGATAACTTACGACCTCTGATCGATGATTTTCTGGACCGGATGCTCCTCACCGATGCCAGTCTGCTCTTTGCGCCAAGCCAGTTGGCGATGGCGGCTATTGTTTACGCAGTAAATAAAGCTCACTTCGATAGCAACGAATATCTGAATGTAAGTTCGTGATCCTCCGTGTGACTTGTGTCTTGAGAGTGATGAATCTCAGGGGATCGAAATGAACTCAAAGCTCGTCCTGTTCCAGATATTATTCCAAGACGCTCCTCCTGACAAGCTGACCCACGCTCGCAGGATATGTAAGGAAATGCATCAGATGATCAAAGCGATCGAAATGCCGGCCAAGGAACAAGTCAAGCGTGAGTTGGCTCCAGCTGAGCATTGAGTCCATTGAAACCGTCGCTCAATTTCGCCGCGATGATTCTTTAAATATGCGCATTACAGAGATCGAGAAAAAACTGGAGAAATGCCGAAATCAGGATAACAATCCGGATTCAGCAGCTTATAAACGAAAAATGGAGATAGACGACGACAACAGCCGTCTCGCGAAGCAGGGTCGGTATGAGGATTCGATGGAATAAAGCATCATGCGAATTTTCAACCTTTTATTCCGTTGTCCTTGATCTACGAATCATGTATCGAGGCTCCCTTCAGCCATCAATCCGTGGCAGTGTCCTCTGGAGCACCTCTTCGGAACCCTCGCTCGGAACAATCCGGTGATGGGATGTCACGGGGGGTTCGGTTTTTGTCATTTGGAGCGGTTTCCTCTATGCGAAAATCAGGATCCATGAGAGCGAGTGTAAAACTGCATTCTGATCGAAGTTGATGATCCCGCTTACTGAACCGCTCCCCGCGCTATCAGCCCTATGGAAAGTCGGTCTACACTGGCCGCCGATTCCTGACCTTGCACATGTGTGGGTCTCTGACCTCTGTGTCTAGTGTTTACAGTCGGTCTTTCGAATGCAAATAGTAGACGGGGGAACCATCGTCTCCGCCGAAACATTCCGTGCGCCGGATCAAGGTGAGAGCCTGGGCTGGTTTTCAGAAAAGCCCCCGAAACCGAGCGTGGATATCAGCTCTAGCCTCGCGTCGTGTTATTTCTCTCGCTAAGAGATGCTGTTTCGGGAAGCAAAAAATCGCTCCCTTGTTTGTCAAAGGTGACCCGGGTGCCAGAGGCGTTCGATTCGAAAACTGGGGGGAACACGAAGGATACAGGAATACATTTTCCTATCCTGCTCGAAGCTGATATTCTCCGTATTTATATTTTTTCTTTTTCTAAAGAGAGCCTAACCACTGACCAGGAGATATTCCTACAATAGATGTCTTCAGGAGGGAGCGAAACGCCGAAAGCTGAGAAACCGTGCAAGCCATGTTGTGTCGGTAAAAAAATGTATAAGCCCCAGAATTTGCCGATCTATGGATGTCCGGAGTGCCCTTCCAAATTTGAAGTAATTGAATCGCCCCCGAGTCCTATCGAAGCCTACGTGAAGACTCTACGAGTCGCCGTTTCGCCGGGTCTCCTAGCAGCCAAAGTGAGTTCACGGATCGCACGAGACAAATGTATCGAATTCTCGTGGATCAGGAACTTTCCGCTTGAACCGGTGAATTTCCATCGTTTAGCAAGTGGCTGATCGAGGAGTGCAGATCATGGACACGGCCGTCGCGCACACGCAATCATCGTGGGGCTACGTAACCAGTGAAGGCAACTCGACGGTGAAAGGTACGCTCCATTATATGTGCGGGCATGGTATTCCACACTTGCAGAAAGTTGGTCGAAAGCGGTGATGACAATGGAAATTCCTCTTCGCGACAGGTATGGCGATCCTCGGCGGAGGTTTAGCTGGAATGATCCTGGCGAGGAGAGGCGTCTTCAGAAGAAGTCTTTTCGGCGCTACCGGCGCTGGAGTCGTGGCCGCGAATCTCTATCCCGAAGACTACCACCGGTACAGGGACGAAACGAGTAAAGTCGTTTGCGGAACCGTGAAGGACACAACCGGTGAGTGAGCGGAACACCCTGCATGACGCACTTTTCGCGTAGCGGCCTTTTCTCCGATGATTGAAGAATGACTAGTCTCGCATGTCATTCATTCTTCTCCGATCGACCACAGGTTACGACTTGGAGGCTGAGCTCAAGAAAATCGAGCTTTCGAAACTGAGTGAATATGTCCCCAAGGGTTTGACCGCCTACTTCAGTGGATCTAGAGATAAGGTGAGAGGAGGTTTCCGAGAATGAGGTTGGGAGTCAGCTCGTTGCTAATCGCCATCTAACGCATCTCGCGTTTTTCTTGCAGACAGAGGAACCCAAGAAGGCATAGTTCAAGTTATTGAATTAGCTCACAGACTTATATTACGAGAGAAGAGCGATGGAAATAAAGCTATGCTGGGCTTAGTGACACAGCGCTCCCTCTTCTTCCTTCGTATTCCATTACGGAGCGAGGGATCTTCTTCTAAAGAGTTCGGTTGCGTGCAGATCCCCGTGTACGATCCGGAGGTACTTATAACGAGCCACCCTTTCAAGGGAAGTCAGATCCTTACAGAAGGTGGGACATTTTATTTTCAATGCATTTTACAGTTCCGAATTCGCCTCCCACGTTTGGGGAAATTCCATCGTCGGACGCGAGCGAGCGGCGGGCCATCTGTATCGTTCTTCATCGCAACCGGCGGCGGCGTCCTCATGCATTTACAGTCGTATTCGCCTTGATTAGAGAAGAATGATCGAGCGATGCACACACGTTCGCATTTTTCGAAGCAAGAACATAAAGAGCTCGGATGAGCTCGTCTCATCGCACAGGACTTACCAGCATCGACGTGACAGAAGTTATACTGGCAATAACGACATGTCTCCTTGCACTTCCGGCGACATCCCTCTAACTCGCAGGCGTTACACGAGCGATCTGTAGAGTCAGCATTAATTTCGATAGGCGCGCCCGCATAATATTTCTCAGAAAAATATTCTCGCCGAGGAAAGATACAATGAGGATGGATGGAAACGGAGAAGCGAGAAACTTGTCCGGAATGCAGTTCTGAACTCACTCTTCGGGTCTTCTGTTGTGACCACATCCAGCTCGGGCTCAAGATCCGTTGTATTGCTAGTGATTTCCTGGCCATGCGCTATAGCGATTAAGGACAGCGATAGCACCGTGGCGAGCTTCATCGGTCCTATCGACCAAGGTTCGCTCGTGAGTCTGCCACAAAAACGAATGAAGGGCTTCAGCGAACCCTTCGAACAGAGTATGGAGCAGAGGGCGTGAATTAAGCGGTGTACTACGTAAGAAAAGAGAGAACTCATTGAATTGCCCTTGATATAACAGAGTGGAGAGACCCCTCGAGATTAGGAAGAAAGATCGCCTAGCAGAAGAGAAACGGAATTAATTTATTATGTGACGGTGTCCTCGACATTAGATCTCGTCATTCTGATGGAGGTTGCCCTTGACCGCGCTTGACTCCGATTCACGGTCGGAAATAGCTTCTCCCCACCAATCGAGAATCTCCTGGAGGTTTCATTGCTCCTACGACGTATGACGTCATAGCTCGAGATGCTCCATGAATCGAAGAACGCGAGCGCTAGATCGCCTTCTCGTCACACCGACGAGCTCGGCGGCCCTTAGCCTGGATCACCCTCGCCGACCTCGTTTGGAATCTCAATCGGTTGCAAAAACATTCGCGTTCTTCTCCGTCGACGACGCATCGTGGAACGCCGCGAACACATCGTCTCCTACAGAGTTCTATGTCGCAAGCGGAGCATTCTGAAAATTCGAAATTAGCGTCAGAGCTCCCCTCTTTCGATAATTGTCCTCGATGCTAACGGTAGCTCCGAAGAGGCTTTTTCTCCCCTCGACTAGAAAACTCGATCGATACTCCTCTGCTGGGGCATTGAGCCGCGCGATCCACTGCTCGAAATTCATTCTGGGGAAACAGGATCGGACTCAAAGCTCGGGTCGTCACTCCGGTTAAACACACTCACTGTCTAATAGGATGGGTTGGAAGCGGTCGTGAACATGGGAACGACTCCTCACGCTGAAAGCTTGGCTGTTCGGTGTACCATTCTGGAGATCGATCGGAGCACTATCATTCGGTTTCCGGGCGACAACGTCGATAGCCATGGAAGAGCTCAAGACCAGAATCAGATGAACATGCAGTTCTCTCATTATGTCGGTCTTCGAGGTATCTGCTCTGAGCTATCGCGAAGAACAACAACACTGGTAGCGCACCAACGACATGGATTGAGCTAATGCGGTCAACAAGCGATTCGAACAATGACCCACCAAGAAAACAAACAGCGGCACTCGCCTCGAGCTTATGAGGATCCCTGAATCATCGACATAGATAGGGGAGAAAAAATCCGAATTCCGTTGTGGATATGCATCATTGGTGCCGGTGATAGGGATTGAAAAGAATGTGTCCAGGTCCTGGATCTCGTTCGTGCTTTTAGATGATAATCATTCCCGCTTCCGGAGACTCCAGGGATCGTTTCCTGGAGCCTCCCCATAGGCAACCTTATCTTACACGTACAAATACCCGCCATTCGTCTCTCCCCGAATCCGGTGATCCGAAGAGAAAAACCTTGGAGTACTATGATTGAGAGAGAAAAGGAACTGACATCAAGCAAACGGGGTTATTAATTTTATTTCACACGGAAGGGAAATTTTCTCGTTTCGATATCGATCGTTCGACTTCCATGAGAATACGCTCTTCTTTTAGCTCCATTCCATTTGCAAGCGCTGTACACTTATACGGCTCTACGACGTCCACGTCGCGGAGCCTATTTCACAACCTATGTACATGTAGGAAAGCTTTTTCTTGTATTGCCGACAGTTACGAGATGTTTCTCTCTCCGCTCTGAGTAGTGCTTCATCCCCAGCTGATCGATATTTGAGGGTAGAGAGGGAAAAATTCCGTCGAGTCGTCTCACGATTGTCGACTAGAAAGCACACGAGTTCCGACGGGGGCGCCTGTATACAATCCAGGCCAGCCGATACCGAACACTTGAGCCCGACGGCCTCCTCAGACTGCGGCGTGAAGCCGCGACTGCCTCGCCGGCGAATATTCGTGGGCTGTCTGAATCGCTCAAGTAATATGAGACGTCCCGGTATCGAAGTTCTCGGGACATTCTCGGCCTGTACCATCATCTCTGTTCGGAGGCTGGGCTCGGACTCTCCTAGGAATCCCTTATTCGTTTCAGGCGCATTCTGCAAGCAGTTTCGCTAAGGGTCTCGAGAGCCCTGAGCTTGTGATCGTTCCGTGGGATGATGGGAAAACGATTTACCCTCTGAAGTCGAGGTTGATCGGACCATCTGCCACGTAATTCGGGGAAACTCACTCTCTAGCTCGAGTTTCAACCGTAAGAGGGGAGCTCTTGGTCTATACTCGCTTCTCCTCCTTCACTTCGTGATTCCATGCTTAGCAGAGTCATCCGAATCATTCCAGGGCGGGACATTGAGAGGGAGGAGTCCCGGCTTCTCGTGCTCAAACGAGGAATTCGGAAATGATCTCGAGTGAAAATTTTCGGAATTTTCGGCCCTGGACGGGCCCAGGAAACATCGTTGCCACGGTTCGCTCAAACGGCGAGCGTTGTTATTGCCTCTCTCGGGGGTTGGGGAAGCGCTTGTCAACCAAGACTCGCTTTGCTCGCTCCAAGCTGCTCCGGCGTCTTACGACGATACCAAAAATTCAAAGCTAGAGTACAACAAAACATTCAATTCGACTAGATAGGTCCTTCTTTGTAGCGATTGCTCAGACTATGCGTGGGCTCACAATCGACTGAACGTCGTCCCATCAAGCTCATAGAACAGCACGTAAGCCTCGGATGAAACCACTCTGCTCTCGCCGACCTCACTGACCCTGCAATTCAGGAGAAAGAAAAAATTATTCGCGCCAAAGATCAGCATTCGACTTTCATGAGAGAGATCAGCACTGGAAACAATGGAGTTAGTGAAGGAGATTTTGTTTTCGTACCTTGCGTCATTGCAGCTATACCATTGCCTATTGATGGGGTTTAAGCAAGTCGCCGTGTAGTGACCGGAATGAGTGCTTCCCGAATGGTTCGAAACTCCGATTAGGTTGTATTTACAGAAATGCGAGTCCCCACCTGCAACATGAATCCGGTGAAATTACAAATCACGCACACGATAAGCGGAATCATGTCGGCGCAGACCTACACTGGTCACTTCCGGGAATTCGCCCGCCCGTCCGTCCGCTCGCCTAGTGGCCGCCGGATCTTTTGCTGTCAGGTGATGTTGAGCAAGAAGGAATGCTCCTTACCGTTTGACATGAACGCCGAAATATCGAGATTTCTTAACGGGAATTGAACATTGGTTTCTAGCTTCGATCGATAGCGTTCCGAGTTCCCGAATCGCTTCAGGTGTAGTACGAGAATTTTGGGGCATTTCCAAATGCTCAAATTTTTCGTCATCCTCTGTCGTTTTTTGCATTGATCACAGGTCTGAGGAAAAACAATGATTCAGTATTGCTCGTTTCTTCGAGGGAGAAGTATCGAGGGGCTGATTCATTCGGGTCGGAGAAGCAGCGGAAACTCACGGGTTTCTCGTCGCCGTCTAAAACTTCTTCTTTGGTGAAATACTCCAAACATTGCTGGAGCGTCGACGCTGTGCATCGAGAGTCTGAGATTGGCAACGACAAATCCCAGAACGGATCGAAAGTTACGCTTTTGTGACCACATTCCGAACATTTCAGCGTGGATTTCAGCTGACCGACGAACAAATCGACGATCCGGGAGTCGTCGACTCGAAGGTACCGTCGCCATGACTCTGCGGCTTTCTGGTGATCACTGCAACAGAGGAACGAAAGTGGATTTCATTCTCGAACTCAATAATCGACGGTCTGAGAAAATGATCTGGCCGTTGTTCAGCAATTTGTGTGGCTTTCATGATTCTTGTTCATGTGGAGGGAAACGCGACTGTTTACGAATTGCGCCTGCCTCGCTCACCTTAGTGATCCATCGATTTCTGGCAAGCAAGTGCCCCTCGGTTGGATCCGCACCCTGTTCACGTCTTCGTGGAGACCTTGGAGGAGGTACCGGAGGAACTCTTGGGCATCTTGTTGAGAATAGCCCATGAAACGAGGTGCGTATTTTTGAATTTGAGATCGGAACTCCGTCGGGGATATGGCGCTCCCATCTTTGGAAGTCCACATTGATGTGACTAAACTCGCGAACGCTGCAGGAGAGATCAGAACGTGAGGAAATAAAATCTCCTTTGATGCTCGAGCTGCAGAGGCTCCCGACCTTGGAAGCAAAATAATTTCACAGCCTCTGGATCAGAATCCACCGATTCTACTCACCCTGCGCGAGATCACCCTTCATGAGTGAGCTCGTGTTGACGTCAGCCCGGAATGCACGACCTCTGAAGTAGTCTGCGAGCTGAGTGTGGACGAGACATTGGATGATTGAATTCATGAAACACGAATTTCCCAGATTGCGCAAACCAACCACCGCCACGGTGGAATTCCCGTTATGGTCGGCGGCGGATCCCAAGCTTCGCGCAGAGCTTCGCGAGCTTACGCTAATTCCCGATGAACTATCCTGGAAATCAAGTCACACAACAAATCAGTGAAATTCAGATGGGTGAAACCAGAAGAACAACAAGGCACGGGTCCGACGAGTAGGCAAAACTCAACTCGGTGGACTCCTTGAGGCTTTCGCATGTTCCGGAGAACCTTCAACCGATATCAATCGCTTCAAATTTTGACGGGGTTCTCCATGAAGAATTTTGTTTTGTGTCATCAACAGTAGTGACGGGAGTTCGTTTTCGAATGAGAATATCTTGATGTCGAGAATATTGTTGTATTCTTTCCGAGAGACCCCGAATTTTCCCGCATTACGGCTCGATTACAGGGTCTCTGTAGCGTTTCAATCAGCCATGTGTAGGCTGAGCTCCCTTTCATCGCGAATCCCCTCCTCATTTCGAGGGTGGACCTCTTACCCCCATACCCCCATGAGTTGAGCTAGCTCAACCCCTCAGGTACGAGAGTCCCGAGTCGATAACAACGAAGATCCGGCTGCTCGAATTTCGCCATGACTACTCGATGCCTTCTGAACTCTTGATTCGATCTCAGGCATATTCATATGACCATCCCGCTACAATGAAAAATCCGAAATTCGATTTTGTTATTTTCTCTCCATTGTGATCTTCATAGATTTTGTTGTCGCAGTGAGGGTTCCAGTCAATGGAATTGCGTGAAGATCGCGTGTTCGAGGGCAGCATGCGACATTCAGAATCTGTCATGGCAAAACAAACACCGAACAGCACAATCTACAATCGCTGACTTGTGCTTGTCGCTCTGCCATGTAACCGCTACGGCTTACGTTGCTATTGGCGGCGGCGGTGGTGGCAGCGGCAACAGAGTTTTATTCCGCTCCGGCTTCAACAGCGCCGCCGTAGAAAAGGACCTTGGCCAGAAATGACATAACGAACGAAGAGCCCGAAAAGCCCGAAGGAACTTATTAAGCAATCACGGCAGCTACGGCGGCCACTCGCTGATGTAACAAAACAACTACCGCCGGAAAAATAAGCCGACCACCGGCAACCACATTGTAGACGATAAACCGTGCGATAGAACGGTCGACAAACTCCACCACAGATGAATGGATAGATTGATAGGTGGACGGATGCCGTCATAGATTCACGGGTAGATTGTAGCTCAGAGAATCCCGGATGTGTATGAAGCTATTGTCGGTCGCCGAGAGAGTAGGAAATAGGAAGCGTAGGTGAGCTGGTAGGCGTTGGAAAAATAATCGTCCTCGATTACGCCACGCGGAACTAACTGCGCATATGCTCTGAGCAAGGCAGAGATAAGAGCGAGTGTAAGAAGTAAATACTCACTCCTGAAGCTGTTGACACCCGACGGATCCGATGTCTTGTCAATGGTTTGACCGCTACCTCAATGGAGTCGACAGACGAATTGGACGACCCCAGGGTGCGGTAATGATATGAGGACGAAGGAGTTATCGACCTTGACCCCAGTCCCGAATCCGACCCTGTCGGAGAAGGAGCAAGAGCTTCGCCACTGATTTGCGAACAGCCGGATAAACTCCTCTCGTGACCTTTCTTGACGTTGCCGTTTATATCCAAGCCTGACGCGCTAGACGTGAGTGTACTCAAGTCAGTTATTGAGAGACGTCTGATGCCGCGCGAAAGCGAATCTGCCCTCGATAAGGCTAGCCTCGATTCGCTGAGGTCTCTGTAGCTTGTGAGTTTCACGGGCTCGCTGCGTTCCAGCGCGTCTTCGCGACCCAGGAACATTCTGCTGCGACGCGATGGTAAATCTATTGAAGTTGAAGAACTGAAGTACGTCGACGGAGCCAATGTCGAAGATCGAGGCGGCTTCGAACGGAGCGTAGCTAAACTCGTAGAGCTGCTTAAGGTGGTGTAGTGACGACTCGAAGGTAGAGACCAGCTTGATCCCGGAGTAGACAGAAGGGACATCACTCGAAGCGTTCTGGAAAGGAAAAGGCATTGACGGTCAACAGTTGTTACATTGGGAAGTAGACGAGCTTCTAACGGTGATCATCGAGAAGCGTTTTCACAATGCGAAATTCGAATGTTTCGATGAATTTTCTTCCCTCGAAGGGAGGATGAGCAAAAGGACGAACTTGTGCCGTAGACATCGCAACTCCCGAGCTGTGAATCGGAGCTGGGACTGCCCCGGCGGTCATCCGACGCCTGCGTGATGTATCGTGAGAGCGACTCTGGGCCCGATCTCGCGAAAATCGCGAAGGAAGTGCCGCGAGGAATCCAGTCAGGAATGACATGAACAAGGCTTCGCGTTCCCCTTTCCGGAGATAGGCGGGAAAGTCTGGATCGTATTTTCATCGATCGTAGGAGTTTTCAGAGGCTCCTAGAGTCGGACGGTCATTCTATCCGAATCAGCGAACAACCGAAGAGTGAGTATGGGAGCGCCACTAGTTTGACGATTTTCGATTGCAAAACCACTTCACCAACCGCGGTGCCGCCAGTGGAGATAGCGCTACCTTGGTGTCCGCCGACAGACTGCTCTGCTCATTTGAATAGGAGTTTCCCCCCACTCACGCCCATGCCAAATGAACGGAAACATCGGAGGCAAATAAACAGATGGGTGGAAGATATCGTTAAAAGATGCTCGTTCGCTTGCTGCCAAGCTTGCGTGATCGGTGACCTTGACATCGGTTTCGTGATTCACAGAACGTCGACCGCGAACCCTTAGCTAGAAGAAATCTCTTCTGACTGCGGATCTGATCTCCTGGCAAATGAGATTAATTTTCATCATCGTTATCAGAACCGACCAGAGCTTTCTCAAATCGCCCCTATATTTTATAAATCCATTCCGCGCGGACGGCTGTCTCGTGACCGATTCGTTGTGAGAGACCCAGACACACTATCGCTTTCAAAAACTTTCGACCTTTTTCTAAGCTCTGTTCTCTCAATTTCCGATTTCGTTTCCGAGACACGTTGGTCAGCCGTTCGCCGAATGGTGTTTTGGTGCCGCTTGTGCTGATGGTAGCGGTAGTAAAGAGCTTTCATTTTTACTTTCTCGGCCGCCCATGGGTTGCTCAGCTGGTTAGTCGGTCGCTCGTTTCGTTTCCCGCTAAATGCTCGGGACCACGAAGGTTTTTGGGATTCTTGCCCACTTTTGACGATCCTTCCAAGCACTGTCTCACGGGATCGGATCCGCCGGAAGAGCCGGATCCAATATATGATCTCCTCTCACAGGGGTCGAGTCACATGACAGAGTGATGAATACATCCAATCGAATGCCGTGGAGGATCACTTTGTGGAACCGATAACCTTCCCGGTCAGCAACAATGGTTTTCACGGCGATCAAGTTCGACGGGAAAACTCCGGCCGGCGGAACTCGCTCAGCGTCGCTTATCGTCGATGTCATCATCATGATCGCCATCATCGAATCGGCATCATCGTGACTCCGATGCGACTACCAACGAAGTCGCCGCCGCTACTAAGGTTGCTGTAACAATGAGGCGCAGGGGCCTGATGGTGGTCATCACCGGACCAACGAAATCCTTGTGACGCTATTCACTACGATTCCTGAACGAATGGTGACAACCAGATATCGATTGATAAATAATCGGACCTCTCCGTTCCACCGAGTCCTCAGTGAGCAGTGGAAAGCAGCACCACCAATGCTTCTCGCAGAGCCACATGCTCCAGCATGGAGTGGAAGACAAGAGCTCGTGCGTGGTCTGAGGGTTCATCGAAGCCTCGACAGGAAAACGAAATCGAATAGATTCGTCCACCACGTTATTGCAAATGTGCCCAACTAGCTTTGGGCGTTCCACTTTATCGTTGTCAATGGAGAAATTCTCGGGAGGGTCGGATACGGAATGTCAAAGCAACAGTGACCACGACGAAAAAGAGCAAAAACTCGCTGTGTTCACCGAAGACTGCGGCTGAAAATAGAAAACGTCGAAAAATCCTTTTATTCAGGTAGCGGGATGTACGCAACCGGTCTCGGGCGCTACGAACGCTGCCGTTCGCGACGACGATTGACACCCGCGATCTACACCGCAATTGACACCTACTTTTCAATGCTAAGCAATTTTCATAGAGAGAAAAGGGGGGAACTTTATAAATATGTTCACCGTGAGTTTCTGTCGTGGCCGTGTCGGGATCTGCGCCGCATTTCTGGATTGACAAGGGGGGACGTTGATTTTTCGATCCCGGCAGGAATTCAAAGAGCGCCCAGTCACGCCATGGAATCCCGTTCCGGGGCATTTATCAGCTCGGAAGTAGATTTTACACAAATCCACTGTACGGATCGCTAGGTTCTTTTGAAACGCATCAGAAGATAACAAGAGATCTCTCGGTGCACCGCTAGAATTTCTGCGAGCTCCCTGCACGATCCCCGCCATCACGAAATTCCTCATCGGTCCCGGATGGAATTGGGCGATGGTCGATCACTTCTCACTTCGTGTTTGATGTCGAGTCTGTCTAATTTCCATTTCCAGATGGCGCAGCCCGTTCCCGTATCGTGCAAGAAGCCCTCTCTAGACGAATTAAGATGAAATAAGGGATTGATTTTGCAGAGCTTTCTCCTTGACTTTGAAAAAAAACTCAGCTAGCCAACATGCTCTCGTCGAATGGCATGATTGTCAATTGTCAGCATACATGGAGCGTCCGCATTCCCGCGTCGCGAGTTTCCGGACTCGGGAGGATTCTCACAGCTCAAAACTTTCCTCGCTCGAGTTCCGAGACAATCCTCTCCGTCGTGACGAGGCAGCCTTCGGGCAATCCTTAATTTATCAGAGTTGATAAACAGCAAACCCAGAGGATGAATCCCTGGCATTCGTCTCGCGTTGCAAGGGGAACACTCCCAGCAGGATCGGAGTCTCGAATCCGGGAGGGACGATCGAATGCGTCGATGGGGGGATCGGCTTCTCCCGAATCGGGCTATGGCGCTCATGAGCAGCCTGTCTCGCAGGCTCACTCGGTTCGCCACAATGCTCAAAGGATTCCGCGAGACGCCGAATCGACTTGAATCACCGTTCCACGCCAGAAAAGGATTGTTGCTACAGTCGCTGCCCCTATCAAGAACTTTCGCTTAAAATGCGACAATATCCCTCGTTGAGTACGCCTCTTGTGAGGTTGGCGAGTGATGAATCTACATGGGTTCTTCGCGAAAGTCATCCATCAATCTCTAGACAACAATAAAATCGTAAGTCGACTTCGGAAAAGATCGCCGCCGGTGCCGGCACCGCTTCGGAAAGACGACAGATATTCTCGCACCGTTTTGAAATGCTCCCGAGGTGATTGAATTACGTGCCACGAAAACCCCGCGGGTCAGACAAAGAGACGATGTCACCCAACGACTGACTGACTGACTGACTGAGAAAGAGGCACTTCTTGAATCGATCTGAATTTGTCTGATCGACACCTGCGGTTCCAGGATGTACTTGTTTCATCAGACTCGACTTGGTTATCATTTGCAAAAGTGGGTGGGGCCGCGGATTCCGTCACGTTCCTCATCGCATGCGAAATCAATTCTCGCCAGCCAAGTCCATGGGTCGTCCCGTTCCAGAACGAGCTGGAGATTCCGATTTGAGGGCGCAAGCAATCGAGAGGAGCTAGCTTCGGTGCATCCAACTCGGTGAGCTTCTAGAAAGGCTTCGGACGACGTTTAGCAAAGGCTCTCTGGGGCTTCTAGGAAGCTCAACAAGAATCCGTCGGCAGCGGATAAAAACTCTCGCTGAGCCACTATGACTTCGGCATCGAAGCTTGCCAATAGGAAAAGAGCAAACATCGATGAGTCAGACAACAGCGAGCGCGTCAAGGTTAAGCCCAAAGAGCCCACCGAATGTCCAATAGAGGAGAAATCGTTTCAACGCTGGTGCTACCGCGGTGCTACTGTCGACCTGCAAGCTATGCTCGATGCGTCGAATATTGAGAGGGAGAATTCCTCCAGCGCGACATTCTCTTCCCGAGCGGATAATTCCATCGTCCGAAACATAATCCGGTCATGAACCCTGAATCCACGCGCATAGACATACGAGGATTTCATAGGCGGCGGGGATTCAGATTTGGCTCCCGTCGGAATTCCAGAAGAATTGTTCATCGGTGGCCGATGGAAAATCACGGAGCGAGCATGGGGAATAGATCACGCAATAGAACAGTACGCTTAATATTAACGGATAAGTGTAACAAACGTGGGGATTCGAGCGTGCACGAATGATTTAGTGGAATCCGCGAATGGCCGCAGGTCACTTCAGAAGAGGTTTGTTGGTCAAACGATTGTTCCGTGCAGATGCGGATCGCTCGAAGAATACCGCCAATGACCCCGATGCAGCGGTCTGCTTGTCAAAAACCTGATTTCGATGAATTTTCTGACGACAGCCTCATGAGTGGAAAAGTTCCGAAAGAATTGAGCCGCGTCACTAAGGAGTGTAGACGTCTTCCCTCGTGCTGTGAACCATGGCGCGAACAGAGTTCTTCTCGAATTTTCAGTCGATTCCAGTAACGAAACTTCTTAATCGAAGGTTAGGAGCTTCAAAAGACCCGCCGTGCAAAATTTTGCGTTGAAGACGAATGACATATCCAAAAAACCGTTAACTGTTCGGTATGAAAGCCCCGGATTGCTAGCTCACGGCCGCGAGCTTCTTTTTTCTACTTCTCCTTCTTCTCGGGAGGCACAGCACCTTCTCCCGAAAACAGGGAAAGCACTTGACGGTATCGTTACATCGTCATTCTTGCTTTTGTTGTCTAAATAAACTTTCTCATGTTCAGCAAGATGTTTACGGCTTATTGTCTCCGTCGTGGAATGCGCGATTCCTTTCATTCACCCAAAGAGTCATCGCAGTCGACAAACATCGAGTTCGGTGCGGTAATCCTTGTCATTCGACTTATAGTGTACCGTACCCCACCATGGTCAAACAACGCGGCGAAAGCCTCGTCGCGCGCTAGCCCTTGAAAGGAGGAAAAGGGTTCGCTTTCGGAAT